TATATATATATACATGTACTACAAACATACTACATATATATGTGCTTACATTGTCAATCTACAAAAAAAAGCCATCAGTACAAACACATATACAACGCTCAAGTATAAAACAGAAATACAGGCATCATATATACCTATATTACACATCTGTATATGCACACATGTACACGAACATGCAGAATAGCTATTCATAAGAAATCGAACAGGCCAACCTATAAAGAAACATGCGGCTCACTGTACAAAATACAGAATTACACGAACGGATCATTCGAACGTATTCGAAAATTCATCTGTACCCATATCAGCAAGCTTTGGCAATGTGTAAGCACATGCGGGTGGGCTGCCATCTCCATGTCGATGGTGAAATAATATGTCTTCGCCCATACACTCACAGTAGATACACAATCCGCATAGATGCATATACAGAGTCCAGTATATACATCCGTGGTAGGCAATAGCCCTACATATACGTACACATGTACATGGTTAGTCTTTGTACATTCACACATACATCTTTTATACACATGCATATGTTCAGCCTTTCTAAATATACACATACCTGTGTGCAGCCTTTCTGAATATACACATATTCTTGTACATGGTCTTTCCACATATACACGGAATACACATGGTCTTTTCTGCAAGTACACATAAATGTACATCGTCTTTCTGTATATGCACATACAAGTACACAGTCGTATTGAATATACACATACTCTGCTTCCATGTTTGACCCAGCCTGCCTTCTCGATTCCAAGAGTCCACTTTCATCATGGGCGCTATTACCACTTAGAGACAGCTCTTCGATAGTACTGTACATGGAAAACGCGCTAAGGTGAGCGGGTTTGTACAAAGAGTGCAGAATGATTACGGGCGAAATCACAGGTAGGACGGGCGAGAATGTCAGAATACACATACCCGTAACTACAGGAATGCTTATACACACAGAGACTGGTGCAATAGGAATACACATTCACACACACATCTACTGGTACATGTACCTGACACATACATATAATGTACATATACAGACACACATGCACTAAGGCACTCATGTACGTGAAGATAAATGGTAGAAAGTACATCAGCTACATAAACGGGTATCATAAGATGTGCCAACAAACACGCACACGCCCCTACCCTGAGGCTACCTACACATAAACGTCTATGTATACTCTAATGCATACGGATGCACACACACACGTGGAGCACAGACGAGCATAGCAACCAACTGTCTTCCACAAGAATGACAGAGCATTACATACGCCTCCCTGGCTGAAACTTCTCCCATACATCTCCCCCCTCTCCAACTCTGTTCATGCTTGTTACCGTGTCTAACATTGCCTACGTTCTGCAACCGCCGATACACGCGCAAATATACATTCAACACACACACAGAGTGCTTGATGCCCTTCGCCAACAGGTTCCAAGCGCAGCCAAATGCAAATACATTGGTGTACAACATGCACCCCAAACACACCCACATACAGATACGTTGGTGTGCACTTGTACCCCATGCACGCACCTGTCCATCTCATTGGGTTCTTTGGGTCTGGACCGGTCCTGGTGTGTTAATCGTACATTGCTGTGTGGTGGAGGTGGTCGTGGGCTTCCCATTTGCGCTGTGTTGCCGTTGCCGCCGGCACTGGCCCGCCCACTGTCACCCCTACCGGCTGTATCGCTGCCTCGCGCACTACGGATACCGTTGCTAGGGTTACCGTTGCTAGGGTTACCGTTGCTAGGTGACGAGGACCTGTTGGGATTATTCTTAGGCATAGCTAGCAACGCACCCCCGGATGAGGTGAACATCATGCCCGAAAAATTCTGCGATGACCCGTTTTCGTTGTCAGGTGCAATGTGTGGGGTTCTCAACACTCCTGCGAGCACGGGGAGTGAGTGTGTGTGTGTGAATAAGCAATATTGAGTAGGTATATGAACACGTACAGACCAGAATACGCACAATGATGGTTACGCGGAAGCGTTCAGAGGAAGGGAGTGAGTGCACAAATATATCCATTAACACAAACAAACAAAGATACACACATATATGAGCACGTGATGATGAAATCAAAATTCATTATACATTCATATTATAAGCACAGCAATACTTACACACATATACAGTGAATGCGGACGAGCGGAGTAATATCTGCTGAGTCACCCAGCGGATATGCATATAGAAGCTGGACAAGTCTGTTCATGAACCCAATTATACAGGCTGATGTGCTAATCTGTACCGAAATCATACGGCCGATATAACTGCAACATACGATCACTGCCTAGCTTCTTATCAGTGCTCGGGTGTACGTTGCTGTATGCGTAGTAGTCGTGTAGTGGTAGTGCACCCTTACATGAAGACGATCTCCAACTCGTTTGATAAACATATTCGCATTGACCTGATGGTCGAGCAAGTATACAGCTTGCATAGAGTAGATATGCACCTCGCGAGAACTGCAGCTATGACATATAACAATGCACGTGTTAATGCCCCAAAACGCATTCACACAGAGCTTACATTCTGCGGAGCTTACATTCTGCGTACAGTTGATTGATCGTGGTGCACGCAACATACCTGCGCCTTTCCCCGGTTGCGATTGTACCGTGATATCTTGGTCAGGAGTGAACGAAGACTCTCTGCAACGTGATGTGACGGAAACGTGCTCAGATACAAAGGCAAACGCGAAGAAGAATCCAATCATAGGTGATCAGATACAAAGGCAAATGTGAAGAAGAATACAACCATAGGTGATCAGATACAAAGGCAAATGCGAAGAAGAATCCAATCATAGGTGACCAGATACAAAGGTAAATGCGAAGAAGAATCCAATCATAGGTGATCAGATACAAAGGCAAATGCGAAGAAGAATCCAATCATAGGTAATCAGATACAAAGGCAAATGCGAAGAACAATCCAATCATAGGTGATCAGATACAAAGGCAAATGCGAAGAAGAATCCAATCATAGGTGATAAGATACAAAGGCAAATGCGAAGAAGAATCCAACCATAGGTGATCGGATAGAAAGGCAAATGCGAAGAAGAATCCAATCATAGGTGATCAGATAAGGGAAATGACCTGGGGAGACGTATCTTTCTGAGATGCAGATACTAGTCGTATCGTTACGTGAAGAAAATGGATACATGGTGCTGCGTCTCTAAAAGTATAACAACACGTCTATATGAATATATATCACACAGTGCCCATTCCCTGCTGAATGCACCAGAGACCACAGTACTTACTGATGCGGCTGGACGCTTTCGCCACGTGAAGTGCTATCTCGTGACGGGGGCTTGTTGCGTTCTTTGTACAACAGCCACAGCTTATAACCCACGAGAAACCACAGTGTCACCATGAAAATCAGCACCATGTACACGCACAAAATCGTCATGTCGGTGTTGCCGTCCGAAGGTGCTGTATATTTGTAGGGTTTAGGGTTGAGGGTTTTAGGCTGGGTATGTTGAGGCATACAGTTGTGTGAACAAAGTATCCAGCAATGTGTTTTTTGAAATAAATAAAGATATATATATGACGACGGACAATATTCCTTTGGCAACAACAGTGTACAGGATAACCCTAAAACCCTAAAACCGAACAGGACAGTCTAAACCAACAGAAGGGACTTACTCAGAAGTAGCGTGGATAGGGCTATGACCGAAACAAACAGCCAGTTGTAGATGCTCAGGCCAATGAACGCACTCTCCTTGAAATCCGAGGGCACCTTACGCACTTGGTACGCTAGCACAGCACCCAAAACCATAACTATGCCCTGGAACAAGATTATCACCAGCAGGCCCCAACTCTGCGGACAAAGCTGCCACCTTTCATTATCAATGACAACAGACACTAACTGATAGTCGAACAGCCCAAAGTACAGCCCCAGGAACAGTGCGTTGACCACTAGCAGCACGCTCAGCTTAGTCAGCAGCTCTCTGGGATACGCCAATAAGGGTTTAGGGTTTAGGGTTTGGGGTTTGGGATTTGGGGTCCAAGGTTAAGTCTAGGGTCCTCAGGGTGGAGGTATAATGGGTGAAAGGTGGAGGCGGAGACAACTGGCAGGCAGATAGATAGATAAATGAATAGCTACATGAATGAATGAATGAATGGATGGGTGGACGAATGTTTATACGTATGCACGTGAATATGTAGGTATATATATATGTATGTATGTATGTAAAAACCCTAAAACCCTATATATATATATATATATATGTATGTATGTATGTATGTATGTATGTATGTATGTATATGTAATGTATGTATGTATGTATGTATGTAT